GAAACACTGTCTTTGGTTTAACATACAATCCAGTGAAAACCCTCTTCCAACTAGAAACCAACTTGGCAGTGTTCAAGAAACTTGGCTCGCAATACAATCAATAACAAAAACAATAAGAAGCGAAGCGTAACTGAAAGAGTGATACACATTGTTGAAGGCATCATCTCGGAAGGTCGTCTTTGACAAGCAGATTATTGCTATCTTTGAACGAATCTATCTTTCATTGCCGTTGCCTGTGTGTCGCCATTAAGCTATCGTTTGAATACAATTAAGGTAATGCATTGCCTTACCAGACAAATCAGTTGCCAGAGATAACTGGGTTGAACAAGAGCGTTCGCTTAGTTAAACGAACCTAGCTTACTTGACCCGCTGTCCCTTAAATTCAGTTCTTAAACTGTTATTTACAACAACTCGACTGAAGTTGGGGCACCAAATAGCCAGACGCGTTGTTCGGAACCTATACATCTGAACCAGAAGAGCTGACAAGTGCTACCATTTTCATATTGGCGTTAGATTATGTCTGTATCCGTTTCAATGATGCCAAATGACCACAAAATTTAGGTTGTATTATGCGCATTCGTTCAGGTCCATAGCCTAACGATGAGTCCCTAGATGGATGGCCTGCTACATCCCACATAAGATCAAGCCTCAGCATCAAAGATTCATCTGTCTTTTATAGAATAATGCACCTTATCCACTTTCATCCGACTAATATAGACCTTTCTTATATATATATATCACCATTTCACTTACCAAGTTACTTAACGTAAGTTTGCTCAAGCAGCGTATATGCATGGACTGCTGACCTAAGCTAAGCGTGCAGCTAAACAAGTAACTCATTAATCGAGCCCCCCCCAGAACAAAAGGCCAGCTTGACCTGCGGCTTAACACTCTGTGTAAATAAGCCTTTCAGATTCTGTGTCAGCAGTCCGTAAGTCAAAAAGTGCGAAACTGGCACCCGTCCAGCGCTTTCTAGTAGGCCACAAATGTGCAGGTACAATAGCGATCTAGCGGTTATCAATTGTCCTACAGGACACCATAAGGTGACAAAGTTATAGTGGGTTACATAGGCTTTCTACGCAGTAGAAAGGTGGATAACCTATCCGCAGATGCTAAATGTTTAGACTGAAACAGCCTATGTTCTGGCTACGGACTACGGAGGCTATGGACTGGCTACTGAAATGACTTTTCAATGCTTGAAATGAAAGATGTTTCATGACTAAACTGATCAGCATCAACCCCTCCTAGCCTGTAGACAGTATAGGTTTTTGCTAAAAAAAATTGAACGATGTTTGATACTTACGGTGTGGCAAAAATCTGCCATTCTGTTACCTAATTATATTCCACATGAACGGACACGAGGTTTCTAATGGTACGCTTGCAAGCGTCAATAGACGGACGGATTAGTAGGTCCGTAGTAAAGTTCCGTAAAGTAGTCTTTTTTTTTTCACCCGAACGTCACAAACTGAGCGAAAAGTATTATATTAAAGCTATGCATTAATCAAGTTAGGGGTGCTCTACTGTTGATTCTGTTGTCCGAGTTTCCATCTCGGACAACAGAATCAACAGTAAACTCCTCATTATCTTTCTGCAGAAATCATCGATCATTGTAAAGTCCTATCGTAACGGAAAGGAGTTTAGGAATATTAGAACGAGTCACTGTAATTAATAGTAGTTCTCAAAACACATGAAGACATCCTTACGCGTCCTTATGGGAAGTATATCTTCATCACTATGTAAGGGGATCTGCTGGTAGGTCTGCGTGCGGAAGCCACTTAGAAAACCAATATCAGCCATCGAAAAAACACGATGTAATAATTTTGACCGCTTTTGTTTTTATCACTTTTTCATCATCCACAAATGTATACTTATTTTAGATCTTAAAACAGAGGCGAACAGCACGCGTTTATGTTGTTATTATCAACACAATAGAACTAATGTATAAGCTAACTCATCTGAGAGCTTTCGTATGGACTCATTATCCTCGGTATTAGAAATTATTCTCATTTCTATTACGCCTCCAGTTATAAGAACTGGTATCGTCATCAGCGAATTCCCCACTGAATATACGTAGTTTTTATGAAGGAGTGATTTTTGCTATTGGCTGATATATGCACACTCGTGTCATCGTCAGGTGACGCCAGTCACTGTATTTTGTTGTCGAAGCCGTTGTCTAGAGAGATATTAGCGTACCTGTACGTTCAGTTCAATAAACTATTACATCTCGGAAGAAAGCTAGACAAGAGAAAGAAAGCTTACGGTAAAAGATGTTGCGTGTATGTAAATATCATTCATTATGGAACTTCAGATATAGCTGTGGAACGCTTTCAGCAAGAGTCAGCCTTTGGTTATTTTAGAGACTCCACAACCGCCATACAGTTGAGCGTTCATTTTAGCGGTTATTAGATACTACAAAGTAGATTAGAAAAACATCGGCGCTTTTCCTGAGAAGATTCGATCGGAACTAATATATCCGCTTTAGTTCCGAAGTACCTTATTGTAAATACCACTACAGGCAGCATCAAGCAATAGTAGATAATTATCCAAGAATAGTATTCCCTTGGCCAGCCGCAGGTTCTACGAACGAGCGACCTTATTTAGTATCCGACACAGCGACTTACCTAAGAATACGTTGCTTGACAAGAAGAACTACTGTTCTGGAGAGTTCGTTCCCGTCAGAGATTTTCCCATAAAAATATGAAGCGAAGTAATGTTTGAAGCGACTTAGTTCGTAACGATGGGTAGAAACTGAGCGCGAAAAGGCGCTCAAACTATGCCCTTCTACTATTCTATACTATACGTTATACTGTTGTGGCAAACATTTCGTTTTTCTATCGTATACATCGGCGCTTCAGCCGTCGGCCTTTCAGGGAAAACAAATAGGTGCAACTCAAGACATGGCTTTAGTAATCGGGTGATCGACTACTCTTAACTTGTCTGAATTACAGATCCCATTTTCGTTGGCTACACAGATGTTCACATTCAACGTAAACATACCTATCGTATACGTAGACGTTCGTTTGTTGGGGCAAACCGATCTTATGCACGTCTAATTCGAATGTGCTTAAACAGCTGCACGGGACGTAGCTTCGTTACGTGCACTAAGCGCAGACAAGTCGTCAGAAATTCAAAGCCACAAATACGCATAGATAAGTGGTTTGTCTAAATCAGCAACCCATTCTACCTTCGAACTGTTAATTTTATGGGTAGCACTTGCCTTTAGAGAACGGCATCCTTTCAAAGCGTCTTTCTAAATTCAAACCGGGGGCGTATTTTAAGCTCGCGTTCAAACGTCCCGTCTTAAATCAGTGTTTCCATTAAACGCATTGATAATAGCCATGTTTGCATCCATCGAATTTGGAAGTCAGTCACGGGTCTCGTCTAGCGCTAGTGGCAGACGGAAGACATTTTCTCAAATATCAGGAAGTGATCAAATGGCCAAGAGACTAAGAGGAACTAGGCTCGATAAGACGGGAGTCGGGCCAATACTTCAGTTACATACAGTAAGCCTGGTACGTGATAGCGATAGAAGAAATAAAATCGAATAAGAGGAAATAACTTTGACCGTTGCAGCTCTGCAGGGAAACAAAAGCGACACTAAACCTGAGAAGCTCCATAAATAACATTTCTAAGAAATACTATTCAGATTAAGAGTTTTTTTTGTTTTTTTTTTTTTACGATATTCTCGGTTTGAGCTTGTAACAGTACAAGCTACTTAGTTGTTGTTTGAAAACCGAAACAGCAAACAACGCAAAATCGTTCGGCTCTATTCTCTGTAAATGTTTTCGATTGGTTTACAGTTTCGCCGTATAGAAACGGGAATTTCATGTTGCCAGTTGTAGGAACACAGGATTATTATAGGAGAAAGCCAAGTACAAGAAAAACGAAAACCATGTGTTTTCGGTGACGTAAGGGTCCTACCTTTGCCGGAGTTACTCGGTTAGAACTTTTAGTCCGGCGCGGCGCATATGATTCGACGCACCAATTGTTTCAGTATACATAGCATTCAGTCGCCCATGTGGCAGTTGGCCATTTGCTTTTTGTAGTAATAATGCATCGACGAGTCCTTGTTACTCTGTCGTTGTTTCAACCAAGTTCTAAGCACACATCGAGAGCACAGAATGTTGCCTTTGTCACGCCCTTCCTAGGTTTGCGTGTCATCCATATGACACAGCGACTGAGCTGATTTTTCGGAGGCTTTTTAGCGGTGCGTACCAATAGTAGACACTGTATTTGGGTAAAGTGAGATCGTCGCGTATCTGTGCTTATGGGCAACACCGATCAGGAGAAATGATAGCGTTGTGCTAAAGACAGTCGCGAGCAGGATCTACCTGTAGGCTTAAGTTACTTTGAACAGCGGAATCTACTAGGAATAGTTAACAGTAATAATAACAGATTCATTCCTGTTTTATAATTACTAGACAAACTGAATTCAGTTTGCATTGTGTTACAGATGGCACTAATGGCTACCGTTATTCTTACGATAGGCAAAAAATAGAAGGATGCATTGGTAATATAGTTATTAGACACATTTCGTTGATTCGCGAAACACTCTTTGATGACCAACCATGCTCACAATCGCAGTGCCTTCTTAACTTTGAACTACATGTGCTATGAACTCCTACAATGCTAACCCTAAATCGAGTAGGCCGACATCAATTGAAGCTTGCCTAACTTGGCAACTAATTAAACCTGAGCCGAGGTTCGGCAGTTACCTTACTCATCATGTTAACAATTCCGTCTGACCGCGGTAATACTCAACAACATTAGTGCTTTCTTCTTTGTTCTTAGGTAGCGAATATACCTAGAATTTTTAAAACACTAACATTGTAAGCCGCCAATGGGTTCAAGCACAACCTACTAATGCTTGAATGTATTCGTACAGTTAGCGCGTACATTGATAACTTCTCCCGATCCGTTTTTCACTAATAATGGCTAAGCGTATTTATAAGTAAACAGTTTCGGGCTCTTAGTTTCAAGCTGTGTAAAGTTCTACTTACTTTTGGCCATTTCTTTTCGAACGTTCGAAGGGACTTGTTGTCAGTCGGGTTTTCTACGTGCCGAGGCTAGTCTACGTACAGAAAGAGATCTCGTGCAAAAGCAGAACGCCTTTCTGCGATGGTCGGCACAATTTTCAGCCTGCTTTGGTCTTTCTTTTGCCCTTCGTTGTCTTGGATGCAGTGATGGGTAACACTTCTTGACTTCTGCTTGGATGCGTTCTTTAGTAAGTTTCTAACCTCTTTAACCGCCCCGTTTATGAGCCTACCCTTCGGGCTCGTGTGCACCGTTCTTCAGGGTCAGTGGCAAATGACAAGTTGGTAATATTATTTGCTGTTGCTGGACTTTCTGCTTGTGTTTCTCCGTGTCGCAGTTTTGTTCCTTGTTCAGTGCATCCACGGTGGTTGAGTACTCTCCAGCTTTCCCATGGCCACTCTGCCTGTGGAGGCACTTTTAAACCAGCGCGCCGGCCCTTTCCCATCTGTGCAGGTCTCCGCCGTGTCCTCTAGGCTACGTACCCCCCGAATGGGCAGTCGACCAATAGCGAAAAGCCTTCGGCGTGACGTCGCCATCTGCTACAACAGGGCCCCGCCCCTGCAATGCGGCCGCAAACTCTCGCGTCTTATGTAAAATGTGGGCATTAACGTTGGGAATGAACGGAACACTTCGTACCCCGTCAGCTAACGCTGCTGAAGTGCGTGCGTATTACAGGTATCTGCTACAGTAACACTTGTCACATGGGCAGTAGTTCTGCGCAAAGCCAAAAACACCTTTTACTATGTAAAACGTACGCATTTGATGTGTACACAGTTATGCATATGTCTACACCAAAACAGAAGGCAGGCTTCCAGTTAAAATAGCAGCTGCTTTTTCTACCATAAATCTAAACCTCTTTTTAACATACAACCTACTTTTATTGATAGGGGAGTCACACACGACTCAGTCGTTATGTACCGTGAACGTTCCAGGCTACAAAAAACAAACACTGTATATGAATCATAATATGATAAATGTTTTTATGTTTATATCCAATGGTGCAGTGTCTTTATACTAGTCGTCGACCGTAGATTGCTTCACGTGCTAATACACTTGGTAGATAGACGCGCTGGCGACGCACCGTGGAGTATCTTCCGATTAAACCAGGTCCCTATTTCGAACGACGTTTGTTTAAACCATTTAACAATGAATAATACGCCATTTTTATCAGGTATAGTTGGTTAACGTTAGATAATTTTTGTCGTAGTCCGCATTGTCTTTGTTACATAATTATTTTAACGTTCGCAGGAACGTAGTTTGAGTAGCCAAGATGAAGATTGACTATACTCCATCAGTCGTATCGTTGTTATGTGCGCAGAACTAAGATGCCTTTGGCTTTGAAGAAATTTCGTCTATGAGAACCTATGGGACCACGGGTGCATGACGGTAGGAAGTCGTTGGCTATTGCTGTTTTGCTGATGTCATCCCAAATAAGTGAATCATATTTCTTATAGGCCTCAATTATGTTTTCATTGTTCTTCTTCTTCATTTAAGTAAGATTTAAATTTCATTTACTAAATAATGGTTTGAGAGTTTAGCCGATACCTCTCCTATGACTAACTATAATGGCTATGTGTGAAAAGTAAAAACGAACTGGAGTTACGTCATCTTACTGCGGCGCATCATGGGGAGCGTCAAACAAAGGATTAAGGGGAAACTTTTGGGAAACGTTTTCACTGCATCATGCCGCTCCTTTCATCGAAAAAAGGATAAACATTGATAAAAAATCCTTATGACTCCTAACATCGGGTTGTTTCATGGAAGCTGGAATTCAAGTAATTCTGTAGCAGAGTCATGACTTGAACCAGGTCTACGCAACGGGCACGATCGGATAGAACGAACACTTTGTCACATAATTTTAGCTGAGCGTGGCCGCTTCATCATAGAGCGTAAGCTCGGTCTGAGTCTCGGCTTTGTAACAGTAGATCACTTTCAATTTTTGTTTCATGTCATGAATGTTCATGATCAATCTGAATCTTTTTTGGCGTTTCTTCTTGCCTCGATCCATAGCAGTGGCACGGTCTAAATAATGCCGAACGGTACCGCCTTGCTATCTGTAACAAATCAGTGGAACGATAGGCTTGCACGCTGTTCTACCGTTTATAGAATTCAGTCGACGGAGATACCGCATATTTAGATATCCCGTAAGCTACTGTGTTTGCTCTGTAGCCAATGTTAGATCGTGTAAAAGGCATAGGTGAAATCGTTAGGTAGATGTCAGCTAAGACAATACACCCCCGAGCTTACGTACCCCTGGAATTCCGACCGTCGCAACTGCACCCGCTTACACCCACTCAGATAGATCTACAGATACGGGGTCTAGGAAGATGTCTTGATGAATGCAGAGTTCCAAGAGGTCAAAGATCGCTGTTTCCCAAGCGAGCATTTTTAACGGTCAGCAGGTCGATCAAAATGTTTTGGTTACATATGTGTGCACGGATAGCGGTAGTGCCGCAAAATCTACCCGTGTTTTAGTAATCTCTCAAAGAAACTTACCTGAGGTGGCAAACGTATTTTTCTGAATTTGTCACAAAAGCCCTTAAGCATTTCCAATTTCAATATGCTGCCTTTTCACTCGCAATAGATCCAAATTCGGGTTCAGCATTGTGCTATGAGCAAGTTTACGTAGATATTCAATATAGTAGAATCCATAACTAGGTAGTAAACATTCTAAGATTGAACCCTTTCTTAGAAGGCCAAAATCACAACGTTAGAAATACGAAATAAAATACATACTAGAGACGCACGTAAATAATTCAGCACATAGCAGGAAGCCAGCTTTTCCTGCCATACTCTAGCTGGCTCATTCGGTACTCCATTTCGGTTAGCCACCTCAGTACGTCACTTAATCAGTCGTCACACGGCGTTCGGCATTTCTATATGATATTTTCTAAAGCAGTTGGGACACCGTCTTGGCGTTAACAAAGGCTAGCAAAGCCGTTATTCTAAGTCGGCGCACTGAGCGAAATTCTACTACCGTAATCTCATATGCGCACTGCAGTGCGTGCTGCGTATAAAGCCATTATTGGGCCACGGCAGAGCGTGACTATAGGTCTGTTTAGTATACAGCAACCCTTTCTCAACGGTCTTATGAAAACTGACTGCTTTTAGACAAAGCGGAAGATTGACACTCAGCGATTTTTATTACTTATCCTTTTTTAGTTTACCAGTAAGCCTATTAAATGCCCCCTATCTGATGTCCACATGAGAACGGTGACGTTTGAAGCCCTTCCTATCAAAATTCTGCGCTTTATCCCAAGCTGATTTAGTGGATAAGCTCGAGTACCCCAACATTAAGTCAGTGCTATGTTTTAGGATCAAATTGGCCAGCTGTATAATTTTCACAGTATACTATCTGGAATATAACGTAATTATCCTGTGAATAAATAATTTATTTTAGAATAAAGATTATTCGTTTACAATACATCTACGGAAGCGAACATTCACCACAGAAATAAATGCGAGCTACAAAAAATGTGATGCCGTATTAAAAAAAACGTTGTTTGATCATTTTAGTTCTTCGTACTAGTTCTATTTTTTTTTTTTCTAAGAGGCTATATTTATGAATGCCGTGATCGCTCTCACCATTGAATTGACAAGAGCAGTCCTGAATATATACTTAATTGTCAAAAGCGGTCACGTTTTAAGATCGTTACGTAGCTGATCAAAAATTATAGAAACTTTACCCGTCATTAAAGCATCGCCGAACAGCATCTCGTTCGCGACGATAACGCTATCGTAGGGTAAGAATCTGAAATTCACATTATCTTGAATGTATGAGCGAGTATACATAGCGCCACTTTCGTGCATAGATATAGATATGTAAAAGGCTTGCAATGTTCATGAGTGGTACCTTAGGACGAAAAAATGCACTTCGCTTCGGTCGGCTATCTGAGGTCGATGAGGACTGATCGAAGGTGCTTTTGAAGCAGCACGGTCGATACAAAAATTGTAAATAAAGCAAAAGGTACACTGTGTTCATAAGACTATCGACGTCTTACATCTATGGAATTTACGTAAAAACTGGAAACCTGAACGCCGCATGAACTTAGTGAACATTAATGAGTAAACATCCGCCCGGTACAGAGCATCACGCGGCTACAACGCTGGATTTTTACGCAGAATCGTCATCAGTCGACTCAAAGTGGTCCTTCTTGTTATATAAGCAGCGAAAAAAAAAAAGGGATATACGCCCAAGTTCAAATTTGGGCCAGATCTCTATTTCGACAAAGCGATGACGTTTGGTAGAAGTAGAAGTGTCTTATGTGCTGGCATATTCGCGAAAAAAACAGGCCGGTCAACAACGATCTGCCCAGTATATTGGCCCGTGTGGCCCAGTATATTGCACACAGAATACTCTCCAAATTTCATCCCGTCGGAGAATTACCTTTTCAATAAGCATATATTTGACAATGAGTAGGCTTCTAAAACTAGGCCGAACAAGTCGTTCAGTATCAAATCTTACACTTTCACACAGACTCAGAGATGGGAGAACGCAGTAGAGAATGGCGGCGAATATGCAATGAATAATTGGCCGGTAGAAGTTAAATAGAATGGTACGTTTTTTATCTGAAAAAAAGGACAGAAATGTCCTTTTTGATGACCGAACCCCAATCACCTTGGCAACCTTTACTTAGTAATAAGGTAAGAAAAATATTAGTAACAAACAAAGTACGCGGTTAATATAATTTAAAATATATTTTAAAGAATTGACAGGTGCACAGGAGCGTTGACACCCTCTATCTGCTTCACTTAAATACTGAGTTATTGGAAGTTTACTGTAGAATTAATAGTAGAAAGAGATAAGCAAATATAGATACGTGTTGTACTGGTGAATTTCTCGAACTACGTTTTTCTTGGTTAGACCACGGCTTCTAAGTTTCGTGCACACTTCATGAAGCACCACTTAAATCGATCAACACAAAAATATGCAAAGAGTAGTAGTAGACAAACACAGTAAAAGCTCTTTATGATTTTTCGTCCCGTTGAAGTGTGACTAGCCAAACTGCCACATGCGACGTGAGGAGCGCTGACGGTGCCGTCCACTTACCTGAGTCTAGATCTACTTTTACGTCTCTATTGGCCTTGCCGTCATGCTCAGCCTATCACTCAGTCTTTCCTATCTATCTCACCGGAAGGCCGTTGAAGGATTAGAGTAAAGACAACCGATTCGAAGTTTGATATAATTGCTCGATCGATTTTGCACCTCCAACAACTTGCTAAGATTTTCAAGGTGTATAAAATGTCTACTGAGGCTCTCCTAGTTCTTACGTGAAAATTGTACGTCTTCATTGAAGGCATTCAAAAAGAACTGAAATTACCCCTTGTTATTTGCTCGCCTTTTGCGCTATCGCATTGATGTAGATTTTGGTCGTCTCGAAACAAAGAAAACGTATGGCAAATTAAGCGGGGCCTGCTTCATCTTCTTTTCACAAATTTGACTTAAACCGTAAGCGAAAATATAGCCTTCTAATTTAAGCGCAACGATAAAAC